AAATGGCGTATCCGCCAGAAATTAAAAAATGTATTACTGGTTGCCTGCACAACCGCAACGTATCCGCCAGAAATTAAAAGACTTTTTCAGGCGCCATCTTTTAGTCAAGTCGAGAAGTAAGGGAATCAGACAATAGAATTGTCTGGTATGAAGAAGTACGCTTTCCGAGAATTGGGGAAATTTCGAGAAGCAGTCAATAGAGTATATAAGCCGGAGCCATCGACAACTGAGACAGTTTTTGGAATTTGAATATACCGCGTGGAAATTGAAAATCGGACAATTTGGTGAAGGAATCTTATAAATAGTTAGTTTGTTGTGTGTTATAAGTTAGTAATTGTGTATAAAGTGAGAAAATAAATTCGTTAAGTATTTTATCGTGAGTTTAAATAGTGGACCCACGGAATCCGAAACAATACCAATGCGTGTAGCAATATTCGGTGGACATAGAGCTACTACATATATTTAGAATCAAAATTAGTTCTTGGAGACAATATACCTCTATACAAAAGTGTGCTTTGTTTGGCCGTTAGGAGGCATCAAATTTCACATTTTTTAATATATTTTAAGAAGCGTTATTCCAATTTGAATGAGATTTGAGGTGCCTTAGCATTTGTCTTTTATAAAAACTAAGAAAAAGTACAGGAAGGGTAAAAACTACCCCCACCCCAACATAAATTTTACTAGAAATATTTTCCAACCCCACCGACGACCGATTTTATTTTCGTAGAATGGCCCTTCTAGTATTTACTACACAATTTGACTCTTGTAAACGCCACCTCGCATACTTTTTAAGGAATTATTTTTCAGAAGCTGATTTACAAAAAATGTTTCTTATCACATCAAGTAAGCGCTATGTAGAATTTTATGTTAGTATCACAAATAATATTTGGCAATAAGCTTCATAAATTTTCAATTAATTAACAATGTGATTTAATTTTCATTGATGTCCTCTAACGGACAAGCAAAGTACTTTTGTATAGAGGCAAATTGTGTCTAATGAACCTACTTTGATTCCAAAAATACGTAGTAGTTGCTATGTCCGCGGAACATTGGGACACGCTGTATATTGAATCAGTACTTCTCTCTTTAAAATTTTAAGTAAAAGTTGTAAAACCCCTTGAAAAACACTATTATCTATATCATATTTATTTATTTGAATGGATTAAAAACATTAGGCGCCTAATACTAAAACTGATATAATACGGGAATATTTAGTAGATTGACAAAAAAAATATACTAATGTTATATTATTGGCTTATTGTTGACGCCTACCATAAATCACATATTTGCTTGCAATAGTTTTGCAGAGACTTTTTTTAATATTTTTTATTTAATAAATTATACTATAAAATGTGAGTAAATAAAAATTTCGTTATACTTCTTTTTAATTATTATCCATGAAAAATGACATAAATGAAAAAATGCAAGACCGTAAGAGTTTTGCATGCTGGATCTTGCACTGGTCGGTCTTGGACTTGGTTTTGCGGATCTAAAGCTACTCTTGATCTTGCTTTTGTGCATGACCAATACCATGACTAAAATCAGTCTAGAAACGTCTAAACGTGAATAAAAAAACATGAAATTCAATCCAAGTCCTATTACATAGAAAGCTTGATAAGATTTGGTTTCAAAAATTGAACACTATAGAGAATCAAGTTCTTTATTAATTAATAAATTTCTTGTAAAATGGAAATCAAATCAAGCTAGTATATTTAGTTTTAAGTAGTCTTTAATTTTAAAGGTTTTATTACTGCAATATTCGGAAAACAAAGACACCAAAATAAATCAATAAAAATCAAAGTATTATTTGTCTTATGCTCAAAATACTTGCATAATATTTTTTGTCTACCTATTCAATAATTTAAAATGTATTTTATTCTTTTTTTGTTCAAAAGTAAATTGATTATTTTGTTACATTTTGGTATAACTAAACCCTAACTTGGTTAACTTAACTTCTAGTATGTCTTACTTATACATTATTTACCCTGTAATATATCATTTTGTTCAGTGACGATTATAGAAAAACATATCATATCCACAAGAGTTATGTAAAGGTAGGAACACCAATACAATTTATCTTCGAGGCCAAACTGCGCAGTCCGGCCATTAAAAATTTTGTTTAAATCACAGAAATTACCATTTACCTGTAAATTAATGACAAACACAACTGTCACTCCCATAGGTCCTCTTGGTGGACAGTGGTGACCTCTGTGTTACCACGGTTACATAATTCTTGTGGATATGATAGGCTCGTTTCTTTTTGCCATAGAATAATGGAAAACATTAAAAAGATAATACTTATACGTAATAGATACCAGAAGACAACTCGAAAGCTCAATAACATTAAATTCAAAAATCATTGTTAAATATAAAATCATTCTAAGATACTTTTGAATAAGAAACTAAAAATAAATTATAAATTATGTATTTAAACAAATAAAAAAAAATACGAAAATAAACAAATTTAATATTAAAAATTATTGTTTTAAAGCGAAATTATTCGCCTATTTATCAAAGATTGTGAATATTAAAACTATGTTTTATTTTCCATTTAAACAAGTTTTAATTTTTCAGTTTTAAAAACCAATCTTGTTATAAAATATTAAGATCGATTTATAAAAAGGCTAATTTTCAAGTTTTACATATCTAATAGTAAAAAATATAATTATTATTGATTTATTTTTCACATGAAAAATAAATCTAACAATAATTAAATAAACAAAAAAAAAATCAACTATGAAATATACAAAAACAATTAGGTAAAACATGCAAAAATAGTGTGCAAAAAATGTAAATCATGTGGTGGTGATCTATGGTGCTTTTAATAGTGGACATCACAAAAGCAAAACTACTTTTGAAATTGGTATCTAATTTTTAACTAAAATAATTTTTTTCTTATTTTTTTTCAATAATATGGAGATTTGTAAGTAGCATAGTATACTCAAAAATATACTTATAATTTACTTACTATTCCATACTGTTGAACTAATGAATGCAACTTAATATTTATTTAGTTATTTGTTCTATAGTATGTCTCCGCATTGTCTTTACAAGAGGAAAAACATTTTCATTATTGACATTTTCAGAAAAATGCATTCTTCATAAAAATTTTTGCTTGTTCTGAAATGGTTAATCCCGTTTATATTTTTCCAAATTTTCATACCGTTTTAGAGAAAATTAAAAAAAAACATGAAAATATAGTTGAATTTTTGGAACTGAAAGCCAAAAGATGTTTCTATGGTAATATCATTTTGACTTCATTCCTACAGTTCCTCAACAATCGGTCAAAGAATGAAATCGAAATTGTATTACCATAGAAAACACCTTTTGATTTTTAGGACCTAAAAAAAATCAACTGTGTTTCCATGTTTTTGTAAATTTTCGCTAAAATGGTATGAAAATTTGGAAAAGCATAAACGGGATTAAACAGTTTAGAACAAGCACAAATTTTTATGAAGAATGCATTTTTCTCAAAATGTCAATAATAAAAAACCGTTTCCTCTTGTAAAGACAATCCGGGGACATACTGTATATTACTCTATATTTCATTTGTTATACATTTTTTATATATACAAAATGTTAATAAATAATAGAAATGAAATAACAGTCATTAGGCAGTGTTGTATTTTATTAATTTAATAAAATATCGCCTTTTCTATTATTCTAGAATCTATGATTTTAGAATGCGTATAAAGAAATTATTTAGATGCTATTTCTTATCTTTACAGGAAGATGTACAGTTCTACTATGATTGTGATTTTGAATATCTTATAGGTTCATTTATCTGTTGACTCTTTCAGCGCATCAGTTTTTAGTTTCATTGGCAATATTTATTTACCATCAAAAATTGTATTGATGATGTATGCAAATTATTATTTGACACCTCGACTGACACCTAAACATTTTCATGTACTTTAATGTTTAATATATTTTGTTTTGAGCTCATTTTGGTGATTTTTTTAAACAATTTTTAGCTAAATTATTTGACATTTTAGTCTCTTTTTAAATTGAAGTTTGTTTCCATCTCTATATTATACGAACGAAAACAAAATTAAAAAAATATTTAATCTGATTATATTCATCGCAACAATATTGATCAGCGCTATTAACATTGAATAAGGAAAATCGAGCCAACTGAAAGATTCAAATAGATAATATCCAAGTCAGCAATTTAAAAATATTATTTTTAATTTTTATATTGTGAATTCGAAATCTCAGTGTACGATCTAATAATATGCATCATATTAATCGAAGTTATTATAACTAGTTTCTAGTGCTCTACATGTTCGAAAGGGTTACCATCACCCTCCCTATTGCACAAGTTTATTTTTTGTTCAATTTTATTTATAGCTCTTTGAACAGATCTTCTTCTTATACTTCCGAATGCATTTTGTACTCTTTATTGTAAATGTTGAGATGTATTGATTTCACTTTTACAAATGACGTCAAGTAATGTAACACCCTCTGTATACAACGGTTACTGTAGTTAAAAGAAATTTATCTAAATCTATTGCTTAATTATTCTTATTAACCTTTTAAATCAAGTACAAAACTTAGATTAAAGGTGACTTGAAATATGCAAATACTATTTTTTTTTTCTAGAGAGGAAACAAGATACATATATGCTACTTACAAACCCCATTATTCTATTGTATTACATCTACTCTTACCATGCACTTTTTGGTCAATTTTCTATAAAAAACAATTTGTTACAAAATATTCCTACTAACTCTACAAACTTTAGTCTGAGCCAAGACACGCAGACAAGAAAAGGGACGGACATAATTCAATGAGAATGAAGACGAAGAAAAAAAGAAAAAAAAAACATCACATCGGTGAGAAAAACTAGAACCACTTTTACCGGTAGATCGGGCTAGACCAAAAGTCGTTTTACTCTATTTGATTGATTGGTTGGTGGTGGTGGTGGAGGGGGGGTTGTATTAAGTGTCAGAGGTGCGGTGGTGGGTGCCTTTTTGCCACCCTTTTTCTTTTTCCTGTACCTCGAGTAATCGCTGAGGGGGATGTTGGTGGGTTCGTCAGCGTTCGAACCCTCCTTCGTCAATCGTTCGATGATTTTCGTGCGCAGTCGTTCCTAGAAAATGATAAATGTTAGGAATTACAAACTAAATATATCTAAGTTGTGCTTTTTAAATGAAACACCTTGTATATTTATAAATTATATGATCCGTCTAGCTATGAGCTACTGAAAAAATATATATCACTCTATATTTATTTTCACTATTTACTGCAATATTTAAAATATATCATTTTCTTTTAGTTGGCCGTGATGAATAACAAAAAAATCAAAATGGCATTTACTAAAATAGTTAAACACATATTAAAATTTTATTTGGGATTGATATATTTTACCTTTGAACTGTTACCACTGAATCTCTGAATATATTTTTCTTTTTTTTATAATGGAATTTATTATAACGGGATGGGTTTGCAAATATTTAAAAGCTTGCATTATTAAAGCATTTTCGAGGCGTTTGACATTGTTGTAGTTGCGACGATATACTTCATTGTCCATAAATTTCCAAAATCAGAAATCTAGAACGGACAAATCTGGGAATCAGGGAGGCCATTATATGGGTTCATTGGTACCAATTCATTGGTACCAAGTTCCGGTACGATAGCTTTATTAGAACATTTACAAAAAGCGTTAGAGTTAAGTTTCCCTAATATATAAAGAATTTACTAGTGGCTCCCAAAATAAAACAAGACAGAGATAGTAGTATACTTTTAATAACTCTTTAGTTTCTTTTATTAATTATCAATCATGATTTTTCTCAAGTTTTTTTTTCTAGAACAAGATATGCTACTTACAAAACCCACTTTTTCTATTGTATCTCTACTGTTACCATTACTAATAAATATGATCTTTTAATAAAAACTTTTAATGATTGCAGTAAATAGTGAAAATAAATATAGATTATTTTTTTTTCGTTTTTCTTAAACCTTTACATTATATCCATATATTTTTTTTCACTTTCTTGGGTATGAGGTTTTTTTAATTAAATTGAAAGATGGAAACTTTTTTTTTATGCGACGTTTCGCTCCAACATAGTGGACTTTTTTTTCATTTTTCAATTTAATAAAAGACCTCATACCCAAGAAAAGGAAAAAAATATATACTAAGGGCTTGCAAAGGTTAGTCTTGGGTCGAGATTTCCGTATGTAAGAAGAGTACAATGCGTTTATAATGTACTGAACAAAGAGAGGACAGTAAACACGTTGCCAAACGTATGAAATAAACCGAGAAACTGTGTACATCGCTAAGAGACGTGGAAGGGGATATAGCAGATTTGTCGCAGTTGACCGGTCGACCCAATCAATACCTCTGTCAGTAGCTTTGTTCGGGTTCTTGTTATTACCGATTCTGAACCGTCCAAGAACTCTGCAGCGCATGCGCAAATGAAATAATGTCTTCATATTTCCTTCTGCGCATACGCATCACACTTCTAGGACGGTTCAGAATCGGTAATAAGAGAAACCCGAATTAAGCTAGTACTTAAAGTTCTAGGGAAAGGTGTACGTCATGCGTTCAGCTTCACCATTTAATTACATCTCGTGATACTTAATTTGTTTATTTATTAACGAGTCGTTGTACTTTTGCTTACAGCTTGAATTTTTTTAAGTGCAAGCTAGAAACACTTGCATTTTTGGTAAAAATAAGTGGAATTGAGTGGGTGTTCGATAGTGGTTGCGCTATTAGAACTCTGAATTCAAAAATCGATATCTCGAAATCTATTAGAAATAATAGATTGTGGTTTTTTCAAGAACTTTGTTAATATTTCTGTTGTATTTTCTTTGTAGACAGTATGTGAAAATCTTTATCAATAAAAAAATTACACGATTGCTGAAAATTGCGATGTTCCAAAAGTAAATGGATCGATTGTTTACAATTTTTGAATGGAAAAAACAACCTTATCGAATTTTTCTTATGTAAACATATTGTAAAATATCCGATCTTGAAAATAAAAAAAGTTTCAATATCTAAAGTGGTTCTTGCGTTATGGCCTGTTATGTGTTAAAAAGTTGAGTTTTTAAATTATTGCGATTACTGACGTTTTCTCGTTATAAAAAAATGACACCCTAACGATATCCTTATAATTCCATTTCAGATGCTCAGAAACATGTCTAATGATTTTATCTAGTTATCTCTTGAAAAAAAGTCTTTTAAAAATAAGCGGTTTGCGATCGCTGAAATTTTACTTTACTTGATAGGGAAAGGCGTATCGGCAACGCCGCAAGAGCACACCGTCGCGCATCGCGTCGGTCGGTCGCATTTCTCTCACTCCGACTTAATAAGATCCCTATGCGATTTACTTCCACACATGTAAATGCCGACCCAGAAGTAACAGTTGCCAGCACGGTATATGAATAAATATAGAATATATTTGCGTAAGTTTTCTTGAACCATTCCTTTACTATAAAAAAGTCATATTTTCTTGGGTTGAGGTTCGTTAATAAATAATAAATTTAGTTTTCTCTTTAAAACATTTTCTTAAAAGGTTGAGAAAATGTTTTAAAGGGAGAACTAAATTTATTATTTATTAACGAACCACAACCCAGAAAATATAACTTTTTTATAATAAATATAGAATGATATATGTATATATATATATATATATATATATATATATATATATATATATATATATATATATATATATATATATATATATATATATATATATATATATATATATTTATATATATATATATATATATATGCTTATATGAAGCTTATGGCAAACTAGATCCTATAATTTATACAGGGTGTTCCATTTAAGAAAACATAACTTTAGTTCATATTTAAAAAAAATATATTCTTTTTGTAGAATAACAGACTACGGCGCTGTATTCTACGTAAGAAGTTCTACAATAAACAGTGTTTACCTTCTCGATACCCTTAACAATAACAGAGATACAGGGGATGTCCCAAATTAGGCTATGAAAATTTTGTTTTTGAAGAGGGCTATGAAAATTTTGTTTACGGAAGATGTGCCTTCCGTTTGACAAAAAAAATGGGACAGGTTTGTGCAAACCGCACCCTTCTATCTTCACTAATAATGGAGATACCGTATGATTTCAACCAAAAAGGGACACCCTGTACTTGGACCAAGTCAACCGGATGCTATAAGCATACTCACATAGATGTTGAGTGCGTCTCACTTTTATGGTGTTTCTATGATATCAACTCTTTTATCAAAAGTCGAGTTGTTGTAACCTTCGTAGCATCCAAGTAAGTTGGCAGCCAGCCTACTTACTTTGACGCCTTTCAATTCGTTTTGGACAGAACAGTCAATATTATACAAGCAGTGTGCAAGTGAGACGCGCGCAGTATTATTATAAGTAGAGTTATATGGCAGCATCCAAGTGTACTTGTTCTAAGTACACCTTGGAAGTGTCATCCAGTATTAATTATATTTCACCCTGTAGAGAATTAGATTATGGAATTTCTTAAATATTTTTGATGGTGAAATCGTAATTAGTTTTTTCTTATTTGAAATTACCTTTCTAGGATCCTCGTCATAAAAGTCCAGCAGCGTCTGGCAGAATGATTTGCCCATCTGTTCGAAATCCTGCGTGCTAAAATGCGTATCGGTTCTAGCTCCCAAAATGGACCCCGCAAACGAAGCTTCCAACGTGTAGCTATTGGCAATACCCATCATCCACATAACTACCCGCCCTGTTCCTTCTTTGGCCTTTTGAATTCGGAATTTGCAGCTTTCAAAAGAAAACTAAAAGAAAAAATCAATTTAAGTTCAATCAGTCAGAATTTCTTTTTCAATGACACAACATTACGATCCAAAATTAAAGAAATTTGCGTTTAAGAGTGACAGGAATGTGTTTTCCTGAATTATTTGATCCAGTTGCTTTAATTCAGTGTCAGATAAAGTTTGCATTGCATATGATTTTTTTCATGAATTCATAGTACGAGAGCTAGCAACGTCGGGAAAACAAGTATTTTAAGAAGTCCCTTTGACATCCATCGTTTTACTATACTCTCTGAAACAGCAGGCCGTCTGTCTGCCGGTAAACGTTACGTTCACTACTGCGCATTTAAAGAACATCCTATATTTTTTATTAGTCCTTAGACTATGATTTTAGGTGGAATTTGACTCTAACATTAAAGAATGGGTATAGTAAAATACAACCTATGAAGAAATTCCTACCTACTTAGGCGAGGGGTATTTCTCAGGGGAGTTTTGGTGTACAAACTCTAGGAATTAGTGGGGAATTAGTAGGGAATTAGAGGAATTAGTGGGGAATTAGTAGGGAATTAGGGGAATTAGTGAGGAATTAGTGGGGAATTAGAGGAATTTAGTGGGAATTAGTGGGGAATTAGTGGGGAATTAGTGAGGAATTAGTAGGGAATTAGAGGAATTTAGTGGGGAATTTGTTCGCTTATAGATAATAGTAACTGCATCGATACAAATACCTCATTGAAAAAATTACGCAAAATCTATATCCAGAATGAGGGTAATGTTCTATCTAAATGCAATAGAAAAAAATATCAAAGCTGTGAGAGGGAGAGACGAGTTAGAGAAAAATTGACCAAATAGATGACCAAAGTTTAATCACGGATTAATTTTTCATCGCTGAAAAAGTGAGCGAAATAGTCATTAAAAACAGTGAACTAGCGAAGGAACTTTTGGAGAATATAAGTGAATTAGAAACTGACCAAAAGACTGATATACCGCGACTTCTCAAAACATTGCAAGATGTATCACTCAAAAATTCTATTTGCTCAAACAATCAAAATAGGTACGATGATGCTACAAAAAAAAATCGCGGTGTATCTCTTTTATATTGGAGGAAGGTTACTTTACGAAACACTACAATCAAATTTGAAAAATAGCTTACCCTCAATTTCTACGCTGAATAGATTCATGGACGCTAAAAACGACGCCCTACAAGAAGGTGAGTTTGATTTCAAAGGCCTATTAAAATTTCTAGTTGATAGAGGCTTACCAAAAATGGTATGGGTATTCGAAGATGGCACTCGTATGACAGGCAAAATTGAATACGACACCAGATCTAATAATGTGATTGAATTATTTTGAAACTTGTATGAAAGCAGCATATGCCTAGGTAATAATGGCTCAACCGTTACAGGCTGGGGCATCGACATACTGCCTGTCTTTATTCGGAACTGATAACTCATTCACTACAGAACAGGTCACTTTGAGATGGAAATGGACAAAGGAAGAAGCTAAAAAATTTGGAATCACAATTGTTGGATTTTCTTCAGATGGCGTCTTTTAAGAGCTATGCGTTTAAATACTGATTTGGTATCTCCTTTAGCAGAAAAAAAAAGATATTCCACACACAAGCTGCAGGGCCCCTACATTCTTCGTCAGTTCCAGACTGGCAGTGGTATCAGTGTAGCATAGACAAAAATGGAGACTGCTATGTACAGGACACCACTTATATTTTAACAAAAATGCGTACGAGTTTCCTAAAACCGAAAATAAATCTACCAATTGGACAATATACTGCCACCTCGGATCATTTCAGTGAATTGGCCCTAAAGGTTTCAAAAGATAAACACCCTTACAGATTCTGATCTCAAAAATGAAGACAAGATGAATTTTGCCTCCGCAGAAAAAATGTGCAGTCTGATGGTAATTGAACAACTTAATAAGGAAAATTCCACAAAGTGAAGGTAGTGTGGCGTATCTTAAATTTATGAATTACGTTAAATCATCGTTCCTCGATTCATCGGCATTCTTGGTAGCCAAGCCTGCGAATCCTTATTTCATTCTGCAAGATCCATGACCTCTATTTATTCAACAGTAATCAATTTTAGTATAAAGGATATGCTGAATCGAATTGAAAGAATTAGCACAATAAATGATACCATAAACGATCTAAGGGGAACTTTTGCATTTCCAAGAGAAGACAAAAAATTGAAAAACAGACTGAAGGAAGAAAAATTACCACTGGAAGAAGAAGTCCTCAATATGGATATCAAAACTACAGTTGAAGAAGCTCTCCAAATGGCCGTAGAAGATATGAATCGTTTTGGAATCAATGCCAAGGAAAACAACTGGAAATATATGCAGATACCATTATTTACAAAACTGAAGAAAAACGGACAGGACAACGAAGATATTGACGAAGATGATGTTGAACTTAATGAAAACTCCGAGGAAAATGAAATTGACCAAGATGTAGCAAATTGTGTCAATAATGAAGATTGTATAATTATGCACAAGGTTGCGGACTTAATTTCTAAAGAGATCCCTAATCGGCGAATGTGATGATTCTTTAGAAACAAGTTCCATAAGTTTAAAAGATTTTTCCCAAAAAGTGCATAGCATATCGGAAAAATCACCGTATATAAAGCTCACTCTTGGCAAGAAATCTTTGATTATTTAAAAGTCATCGTACTGCTGGCTTTTAGATCAGTCTAAAGTCTAATGGTAGAGTGAGTACTGACCGACTGAAAAGATTCATAGGAAGTGCAAGCAAAATACAGAAAAAAAAACAGCTTCTAAGAAGTCCCAGTTGCCCTTGGCAATGAAAAAATCTAAACACTATGGATCAAGGTGATAGTACGAGCACTGACTCCTCAACTGATTCGGACGTGATGGAACTCGACGACTCCGATGATTCGGAAGAGTTTTCAGATAGAATGCAATTTCCATTATCGGAAACTGATGGACTCGATATACACTTAGAAAACTATTACGCGGTTTTCTATGACCAGTCGTGGTTTATTGGTCGAATTATTAAAGATATGGGAAATGCACATTATAAATGCAAGTTTCTGAAAGCAGAGCTCGACAGTTTTATTTAACCCAAGAAGGAAGACACCGATATCGTTCATAAAGAATTTATTCTTTACGGTCCTATAAATTTGATTGGTGATGGCCCATTCCAGTTGAAGCGGACAGATCAAATAAATATCAGGAGAAGATATGAAGCATTTAAAAACAATAACCGTTTATTTTTGTTCGATAATATCATAATATTTCACAAGAATTTTAACTTTTTTTATGTTTTTTGATAAAAAAATATGGTGTTTTGTTTAGAGTTTTTATTTCAAAACCGAGGGTCATTACTATACTTAAGATTTTCATAAGTTATATAAAAATTGAAAAAGAGAATTCTACTAAATAATGTCATAGTATCAAAACTTTAGCTAGTTACCTTATCGGCAGTGTTTTTATGCAACATCAGTGGAAATACTTGTTCCTGCAGTCTTCTGTCACCTCCTCTCCTGTTTTCGCAACCATAAATAAAAATGTTATGTTTTCTAGAATGGGCGTGCAGATCGCAGTAGAGTGCCACACCGCATTCCTCTAACAACCTGTAAATGTGTTGATTAATTTACCACCAATTACCGTATGGTCGAAAAAAATGGCTTCCAGTTGGCTTGGAAATGACGATCGATGACATTTCCCATATAATTTTACATATAAAATGACAGCGATCTTCATTTTATATAGCCATCGCTGACGCCGTTTTTATTCGATCATACGGTATTACTTATTAGTTTTAGATATTTTATGGAAATTATTTTTTTGTTTCAATCAAAAAACTATAGAGTATCCCAGGCAGAGCGTGCATTAGAAGTTGTTAGCAAACTACATTATCTAGAACGAAGATTTTTTGTACATCATTGTTTCACAATGAGATCTATCAATTAAAAATATTTTCAATAGGGCGGCACTTCCGGAAATACCGGAAGTTGACAGCAACTTTCTCAGTTTAAATAGGTATTATCTGACAAACGAATGTAAAACAGCGGAAGGAATTCGGCCAAAAAAAAGTCGATGTTGTCACGTTTAATTATAGAAAAGCAAAGTTGCTCGATATTACCTATAAATTGAATATATTTTAATTTATTTCAGCATACATTATAACATATATGCTAATATGTTGACGTAGTTCTTATTGTAATAATGTATATTTATCTAATTAACTGATTTCGTTCATTCTGCCTATTATAAAAGGTAAAGCATTTCCTTAAGATAACGTCCGCTTAGGGTAAGCTGGCAACGCTGACAAAATTCATCATGGCATCCCGGATTCAACCAGTCTGATTGGTCGAGATTCTCGCACGTCTTGTCGCCATTACCCCCAACTTTATGCCCCTCTCTAGGAATAGTAGAAACAGTCACTACTATTGAAAAACCCAGTGGCGGTGTTATTGTATTGTGTTTTATATCTTTAACTTGATTTGTGTTTATTGTAATTATAGTACACGCGTTTTAACAAATATTACTCTATTTCGCAAATGACTGAACAAAATGTAAATAATATTAAAAAAAAGTAAAATAATATTATAAACTTTACTGGAAAATATTATAAAAATTCCTGATATATTTTTATGAAACCCCGCACGCTCCTGGATATTTTATGAATGAAACCAGTCATGATTTTAGAAAATTGCAATCCCCTTGCCGTTGCCCCGTTGTTTCAGATCCGTTTGTCAGACTGTACCCCCATTTTTATTACATACTTAAATTCTCCGTAAAATTTTAAATGAATTTTGATATCAAACACTCTATACCTAATAACATTAACCGTTTTTGAGAAAAAAGAAATATTTAAAAATTTTGGAGGAAAAAACTGCCTGTCAATGTGTAAACAAAAATTGTATAGCCTAAATGTCAAATTTAGTGATTACCACAGCCATTGTGACATAAAGTGACGACATGTGGCAATCTATTTCAAAAATTAAATTGTTTGAATGACATATATAACATTGGCCGTAGCTGTCATGGAATTGAGCGATTAAAAAATCATAAATCATTTTTTTTCAAATGGAAACCCACTTTTTTTATTTCACTAGTGCAAAGGTTTTTCAATTCGTTAATTTTTGATTATGCATATTCCTATACCTAAAATAAATCGTTTTTAAGTTATTTAACATTCAGTTTTTTAAAGCATATTTTTTTTATTTTATCTAGCTTCCTTCGACATTAAGTGTCAAACCATCACACAGTTTATTTCCTTCTGTTAAAAAACTAATTATTTGAATTTATGTATATGTATGTTTATTATATTATAAATATTGCTGCTAAAATTTTTTAAAGTGTATCTCGTATTTTAGTGATATCTAATGGCAATATGATATGGCCAGATATAGTTTTACATCGCTTAACGTTGGCATTGTCTTCTAATCCCATCAGTTTAACAGACAGAACCATGTCCAAAGTATGTGAATCCAAAAATATATCAATCTGTTGTAATCGCGAAACATTTTCCGATGCACGTCATCAATCATATCGACATCGACCTTAAAGTCTATAAACCTTACTAAATGAAATTTTGACAAAAAAGTTAAAATTTGTTGTATAATTTAAGCAGCTCTTCATTTTACTTTATAAAGCAAATGATTGGAATAGCTATTTTATTTAGATTAAAGCTGCAAAAATTAGTTTAAACCGAATTTTCTTATCGCTATGTTGGTCACATTGCGCCGTGTTGTCTTTATTATTTGACAATCCGGTATTAACCATAGTAAATTTTTGTTATTTTTAATATAAAATTCAATTGAAGTGATTAAAAAGTACTCCCTCAATATAAAAAGAAATTCAACGAAGTTACAATTAAGGAATAAATGATAAATCAAATCCAGTACAAATTTCACTGGTTTGAAATGACGCGTAGAAAATTGTGACGTCACCTATCAACATTTGACTGAATAGTTGACAGAGGGCGCGAACCTCTGAAGAATAATATTATGGCGTGTCTAGTTCTCTGCTACAGTATTTACACCATATATCTTAAAATCACGTTAGATTTTACTATTTTTATTAAGAACGTTAAAAAATACGTTTTTATGTGGGATTATTCTTTATTACCCCAATATTAAATTTACTTTTATAATTTTTACTACTAGAAATTAAAACTTAAATTGTTATAGTTAACAGGCTACTGCCATTTTTATCGAAGCACTAAACACTACCAAAGTTGTTCGGATGTTTGGTTTGGTTTGGTTTGGAAAGCCGTCGAAGAGCCTGGTTTGAAGCGGTAAGACAACAATATGTCAGCAAAAGTATGAGATTTTGCTGTGAAGATCATTTTAACGTAAGTTCCTTAAGTTTTATTTTCCAGTTAATTTTATATCTACTTTAAAATATATTTAGAAAAATGGTTTTTATTTACCTTTGTACTTGGTGGCAAACCGTGACACTTTTGATAGGTGACGTCAGAGATTGCAAAAGTGTAAATTTAAAATTCCTAATATTGATTAATTTTTTTTAAAATATGGGATGAAACTGAAGTAAAATAAAAAAATACGGGTGTCATAAAATTGTATGAAGATTAATTATTTGCAATAAAAAAACTATGGTTAAACTCCGGATTATCATTAGTCAGTCATTATTTTGTATAATATCGTGTTGTTGAACCTTTGTGAGCAATTCTCGTTTTTTTTTGCTTATTTTCGTAGTCTTTTTTTTAAAATCGCAATTTTAAGCACAAACAGTTCTTTTAAGAACAAAATATTCGAGTTTTTGTATTGCATTTCTTGAAATTGTGTGTTGTTATTAAATCACCCTCTTACTTGTTATTACCACTTATGGCGTTGTAAGATATACATCAATAAATAAATAAATAACCCATAGTAACGCATAGAATAATCTTCATAATGGACTAGTTTTTGCCAATATGTAATAAGTAAAATAAGCTATAAAACAAATAAATCAATTAGTTACTAAAATATTAGTTATTAAATTAAAAATAAAACGTAAAACTCTTGAAAAAATAATATAATAAATATATCGTTTGTAAATTTTAAATTAAGATTCATCTCATAAATCCATCACAATCTGGCAGCACTGTCGTCATCGCTTGCCACTCAAAATTGATGACGTGCATCGGAAATTGTTTTGCGATTACTATAAGCACAGAATATCTAGCTACGCAACAGAAAAATACTCGAAATGAAAGAGCTAAAATTGCACAAATAGAATACTAGATGGCGCGACAATATCATAATCAGAATATAATTAGAAATTTTGAACTTTCGGTTTTGGATCGACGGCTCGTCGACGGCCTTGTAGCTCGGCTAAATATGCACAGTTGCCAGATTCAAAAAGACTTGAATTGGCATCCCATTCTTTTTATTGTGTATAATGCAGTATGTGTTTATTTCTATTCTTCTTTTTTTATCAGATACACTTATATTAATTATTCTTTTGGCTATTAAAATAGTTTTAAGTATATTATTACAAAACATATACATTTTTAATATACACAACCTTATAATGTTAACTAAGAAAATACCTTTAATTACCTTTAAAATTAATAATATACAGGGCGATTGATAGTGATATTTATTAATGCTGGAACGTTAGTAATGAAATATAAGTTTAATAATAATGGAAATAATTTATTAAAATGCAGTACAAAAAATGTCAACTGACTAAAAAATACTATAATAACAAATTTCTTCCGTTTGTCACGTTATTTATATAGACCTAGGTAGATTTTAAAAAGTGACACAGGTACAATTAATAATATATTAGTTCGGCATAAAAGTTGCTGTCACGACATGACGACATCGAACAATAAATTAAAATTCCTAAAATAAATTAAAATTATTAATTGAACAAATCTTTATAAAGAAACGCAAGTATACCAAATTTGGGCCCAATCGAACTCCAGGAAATGATATGATAATAGTGTACTATATTATGGTACCACTCGATATGCTTTAAGGTACCATAATATTGCAATGTCATCGAAGATCCGTAGTATACCAAATTTAAGAACAATCGAACGCCATGAAATGGTATCGTAATATGGTACTATATTAAGGTACCACTTTATATGCATCATAGGACCATCATATTACAATGTCACCGAAAATACGTAGTATCCCAAGTTTAAGCCCAATCGAACGCCATGTACGTAATATAGTACTATATTATGGTACCAGTTGATATGCTTCATGGTACCATAATAATGCAATGTCATCAAAAATACGCAAGTATATATCAAATATGAGCTCAATCGAACGCCAGGAAATGGTATTGAAATATGGTACTACATTAAGGTACCACTTTATATGCATCATAGTACCAGCTTATTACAATGTAACCGAAGATACGTAGTATACCAAGTTTAAGCCCAATCGAACGCCAGGAAATGATATCGTAATATGGTACTATATTATGGTACCTCTTATTATGCTCCATGGTACCATAATATTACAACATCACCGAAGATACGTAGTATCCCAAATTTAAGCCCAATCGAACGACATGTACATAATATGGTACTATATTATAGTACCAGTTGATATGCATCATAGTACCATCATATTACAATGTCACCGAAAATACGTAGTATACC